TCATAAAACAGCAAAGAAAATTTTTAAGTATTTGGAGAGGATTTGTCTTTTCTGGCAAAAAGAACAGAAACTTAACATCCAGGTGTCTCTAAGCCTACAGAAGACTCCTACAGAAAGATCCCCCTGCAGAAGACAGACACACAGCACCCCTCTCAGAAGACTCATAATGAGCACAGAACTTGCCATTTGAAAACACACAGTGCATTTTTATACTTTTTCTTTTCCTGTGGTTACCATTTACTCAGGATTATTTATATAAAAAGCCCGATAAGGCAGAACTGGGGGAAACGGGAAGCCATTCAGTTGACACACAAGCAACAGTCAATATATAAGCTAATGCAATTCGTTAAGACTGGAGTGATTTACAGTGAAGAAACAGAAAGGGCTGATCAAATATCTGACTTAGGCAACCTGATGATTCATCTGCACTAAACAGCATAATCTCAATTATTTTGCTTAATTTTCCCTTAAAATATTCGTGTGGAGAAAGGTGTTCACTGAGAACTGACTAAAACCAGTAGCCATCTGTCTGTCCTGAATAGCTGAACTCGCTGTCCACTTTTGTTTGTGGCTTGCTGTGACATCTCCCAACACTGCAGGACTGAGGACCTAGAAGAATTTACTAGCTGATAGATCTGAAAATTTGTCAGTTTTAAACCTGTCAGCTTTGTTATTTTTTAGCATGGCTACATTTTCTATTTGGAAAGAGTGGGAAACTAGAGGACTCCTGGGCTGAAGCCAGTGTCTTTTTGAAGTTACCGTCATCTCCAGGCTGGGCAGCCTCTGAATTATTAGTTCTGGGCCTCAGCCTAAGAGCAGCTCCTCTCACAGGACGTCTCCTCAGGCGGCTCTGGGGATCAGCGGTCACCACTACCCTAGTTATAATCCTCACAGAGTGCATTAGTGCTGTTTTCTAAACCACCAGTAAGCTGCCCTGAAAATAAAAAAGGCCGCTCATCATTCCTTTACTCTTAAATGCTATTTCAAATGCAATATTTAATCACTTTGAGAAGAAAACTGGCCATTTTAAATTACTATATAATAATATATGTGCTGCTTTACCTGAGAAATGTATAAAAGCACTTTCATATGTAACACACTGTGTGTTTAGGATGAGATTACCCATAAGTTCCCAAAGTTGTAGTAAAGCATTTTCTAAATGAGTTCATCTCCACTTTAGTCATATATCTTAACAACAGTGGCTACCATAATCTCTGAATTGTCATGTGACTTCTGTCAGGCAAGGAGTTTTAAAACTTGCTGAATCCATTTTCATAGGCATAACTCATACTTTGTGACTACCCTTGATTTGTGAGTGAAAAGCTACATTTTTACTGGGATTTTGACCAGCATTTTGGTCTATTTGTCATTCCTTCCTTTAGCAATAATTGCTTCAGAATAACTGAACCATAGCTGGAAAATGTCATTTCTTGAAGCTGAAGAAACCTGCCTCATTTGGCAGCTCATTTCATAGACAGATAGTCAGACCTATCTTCATTTGGCATGTACCAGATACAGAAGTAATGAGATCAAATTTGACGTTACCAGGTCAGCCTGTCCAGCATGGGTTTTCAGGGGGAGCTCCTTCCCATTAGTTTATGCGTATCTAGAATGTTAAAAAATGCTTCATCTCTAGATCGGAGTATCTGTGACCCGATGAGACAAATAGGGAAGATAAGACTCAAGGGAGTAGAACCTACAGTCTGAAGAGTTCTGTGGGATTGTGAACCAATAGGAGGGGAGACAACTTCCAGACACTTCCTGAGGGAGGGCTGGGACTATAGCTCAGTCCCAGAGAGCTTGCCCCGCATGTGTAAGGACCCAAGTTAAATTCCCAGCATCTAAAAGCAGAAAATTTAGCATCTCCCATGAGCAAGGAAGCTGGGTAGTAAAGATCTGACTGATTTTAACTGGCCAAGTCAAGCAAGTCTGTACTCCATGGGAAGGGAGACAATGACCTGATGAAATTTTGACTTTTGTTGTTGAGACACAGTGTGGCTCTGGCTGTCCTGGAACTCACTCTGTAGACCAGGCTGGCCTTGAACTCACAGAGATGGACCCATTTCTGCACCATATTGACAACCACAGAACCCCAACTGCACTGTAACTAGATGAGCTATGTCCCACAGTAAGGGATCCCTTCAGTTCCGCCGTCTGCTCTGCAGTGGCACAGCTGCAGGTCTGCTCTGTGCTGCCCACATGCCTGAGCAGGCATGGAACCGTAAAGCAGCACCGCTTCGGCCTCAGCTTCCTCGGCTAACAGATGGAACTGGTGCCCTAGAGCAGGAGACTTGCTGGGGACGGCTGTTTGGTTGCCATTCAGAACCGCCCCTTTTTCTAATTTGCCCAGTTTCCTCTACACCAGTCAGCATTTCGTCTGTGTGTCCCAACAGAGTTGGAACGTTTCATTCACATGGTTCAAACACACTGCTACCCGATTCTGGAGATGGGTTCCCTGGAGCCCTCCACCCCACAGCAACAGGACTGGCCAGCTGGTCTCCAGCCTGGACAGTCTTCTTCCCAGAGCCAGCTGCCCCTTTACTTTACTAAGGGCGTTTCGTCCCCGCCCTCTCTTTGGTTTCTTTCTATCAGATGCTCATTTTTTTATCTCTTGATTTGTGCCCTTATTTGTGTAGAGTACTTCTCTCTGGCAATTTCCTGGATAAAGCAGATGGAAATCAGAATGTTTAAGATTTTGGGTTGGCTCAGCAGTTAAAAACACTGTATGTGCTGGCTAGTTTGTCAGCTTAATACAAGTTATGATCATGCCTCCAGTAAGACTGGGCTCTAGATGAGTCTGTAGGGCGCTTTCTTAATTAGTGATTGGTGGTGGGGGCAGCATTTGATAGGTGGGGCCATCCTTGGGCTGGTGGTCCTGGGTTCTATAAGAAGGTGGGTTGAGCAAGCCCTGAGGAGCAAGCCAGTAAGCAGCTCCCCTCCATGGCCTCTGCTTCAGCTCCTGCCCCCAGGTTCCTTCCCTGTTTGAGTTCCTGTCCAGCAATATGAATGTGTAAGTAAAATAAACCCTTTCCTCCCCAAGTAGCTTTGGTCATGGTGTTTCATCGCAGCAACTGAAAGCCTAACTAGGGCACTGCCCTACCAGAGCAGGCTTCAATTACCAGCACCCACATGGCAGCTCACAACCATCTCTAACTCCAATGCCCTGTTCTGGGCTTTGAGGGCACTGTGCTTGGAGCACAGACATAGACGCAAGCAAACCACCTATATACATGAAATATTGTTGGGTTCTTTTCAATTTTTTTAAAAAGAAAACTGGTAACTTTTTATTATGTGTGCACTGGGTTATAAACCCCCCCCCATCTTATTCTTCTAAAAGTTCAAGTTTGTTCATTTAGGCTGGTCTTCAATGCAATTTGGTCTTCAAATATATGCATATCCTAAAGTATTTACGTACATTTAAGAGTCAGTGATAGAAATCTCATGAAATCTCTGATAGTGTGGATAGCTTCACTGTAAGAGATTTTAAAAAGTTCCCACCTCCTCACTATAGCGGGCAAACTTCCTATTTGAGAGATCTCTTCTCTTGGAATAGCTGGTTCCTAAAGCATGGTAATCAGCTTTGCATTATGCTGATAAGTACCTAACGTAGACAACTTACAGGGAGAAGAGTGATTTGGGCTCGGTTTTGGAGGTCCGGACTGTGACTGACTGGCCCCTCTGCCTTTGGACAGGAGCATTTAGGAAGTGAGACCCTGTTTTGTTGCCAGGGCTGAAATGAGGGAAGGTGTGAAGCTCTACCATCCCCTTCAGGAGCTGTCCCCATCGACCGAAAACCCTTCCGGCAGGCCCCATGTCCTTAAGGTCCAACCACCTGCTGGTAGCACTGCTTCGGCAAGCAAGCCTCTCACAGGGGAACTGGGGAAACAGGAGCTCTTTCACACAGACGCGCATGGGAGAGTCTGATACTGTATAGTGACCGGTCTGTTCTGAGAAAGTACAGTGAGGCGATTTAGTCACTGCACAGCACGGAGGGCCACTTACATAGACGGACACAGCTACATGTCATTAGGCAACAGTACCTTGGTTGGTTGTTTTTATTTCTTTGAGATGGGTTCTGCTTGCCTCAAACTCTCTATGTAGCTTAGGTAGGGAGCAAAGTTATGATCGCCCTGATTCAGGCCAAGTCCTGAGCTGCAGCTGGCAGCACTGTGCACTTCACTCTCCTGAGAGCACTGCTGTGTGTGGTGTGTGGTGTGCTGTCCTCAGTCTCCTGAGAGCACTGCTGTGTGTGGTGTGTGGTGTGCTGTCCTCAGTCTCCTGAGAGCACTGCTGTGTGTGGTGTGTGGTGTACTGTCCTCAGTCTCATGAGAGCACTGCTGTGTGTGGTGTGTGTGTGTGCTGTGTGTGTGTGCTGTGTGTGCTGTGTGTGGTGTGTGGTGTGCTGTCCTCAGTCTCATGAGGCCACTGCTGTGTGTGGTGTGCTGTCCTCAATCTCATGAGAGCACTGCTGTGTGTGTGCTGTTAATCAAGACAGCACTCGGCTACATACGAACAGTGAAACGTGGATAACCAAGACAGCACTCGGCTACATACGAACTGTAAAACATGTGGATAACCATGACAACACATGGCTACATATAAATGGTAAAGCATGGATATTTGGCCTCTATGGCTCTGGACAGCTTTGCAATTTGATTTCCAGTTGCTTTATTAGATCTTAAATAATATATCACCACAGGATGGCCAATAGCTAGACAGGAGGAAATAGGTGGGACTTCCAGGGGGAGAAAAAACTCTGGGAAGAAGAGAGATGGGGAGACACCAAGTCAGATATACAGAATAGAGAGAGAGAAAAAAAGCCACATGGAGAAACACAGATTAATAGAGCAGGTTACTTTAAGTTATAAGAGCTAGTTGGGCACAAGCCGAAGAGTTCATAGTAAAAAGTCTGTGTTGTTATTTGGGAGTACAAAGGACTCGATATACAGACCTTTTAATTTTAATGTGCAGATTGTACTCTTCGACTGTGCTGTTTGTAGGTCGTTTCCCATAGGACCTTTCCATAGGGACCACAATCAGCTCTGTTCCGCTACCACTTTCCAAAAAGCACTCAAAGACATATTATTAATTAATTACAAATGCTCAACCACTAGCTCAGGCTTATTACTAACTAGCTCTTGCAACTTATATTATATTATTAACTTATATTTTTGGTTGTAAGCCTAACCTTTAACGGCTGAGCCATCTCTCCAGCCTGCTCTTAAAACTTAAATTAACACATTTCTACCTATGTGCTGCCCCAAGGCTTTTACCTCTCCTGTATGTCCTTTCTTTCCATCTGCTGGCAGCGACTCCCCTGGCTCCACACTCCTTCTTCCTAGCATTCTCTCTGCCCCATAAATCCTGTCTAGCCATCAGCCAATCAGCTTTTATTAATGAGAGCAATACATATTTACAGTGTACAAAGATTGTTCCACAGCACCCAAATTCTAAAAATTAGTTAACGTGATCAAACACACAAGTTTAGAAACCTTATTTTTTAAATGTGTTCCTGCATGTATTACCTGTGTACCACATTCATGCATGGTGCCTGGAGGCCAGAAGATATTCTGAGATTGGAGTTACAGATGTTTGTGAGCCACCATGTGGGTGCTGGGAATCAGACCTACCCAGGTCCTCTGGGGGAGCAGCCAGAGCTCTTAACAACTGAGCCACCTCTCCAGCTCCAACCTTATCATATTTCTAGCCACTCCTTGCTCTATTCTTAACCTTCCCTCCTCCCATGCCTGCTATAATAATGCTTCCTTTGTTTCTGCCTTCAAACACTTTGTCCTTCTCGATTGTACTTCCTGGCCAGCTCCCTGCCCTGCCCTGCTGCCTCCTCAGTGCATGCATAAGGACTGGAGAAGAGAGTATGACTGGATGAATGGCCTCACTGTAAATTCATGGCCCTTCATGGAAGGGTTTAGTGGTGTCTGGAAAGCTCAGTCTGATCACTTTTCTCCACTCAGACATGCCAGCATCTATTCTTCCTGGTTGAGTTTTAGGTAATGCCATGTTAAGTAGAGGAGGCCAAATGGCTACAACGAATGGACCCCAAAGTCCAAGTCCACACATCATTCACATAATTGCGTGTTCTATGTCGAGTCGGAAGCTCTTCTTCATCCAGATACTTTCTTGTGGCTCTGCCAATTCCAGGAGCTTGAGAAAATCTAGATAATCCAAGCAGAGCTGCTGTGTCCAGGGTCCAGTTCGCAGAAGAGGAAACACCAGGCAGAAGAACACCACTCAAGTAAAGGCTCCAATCTGACCGTGGCAGGCATGGCCTGCTCTAGAAGTACTCACTGAAAGAGGAGGAGAAAAGCAGTCTGCACCCAGGGACGGGATTGTGACAGACAAAAGATGGCCTTGTTCCCCACTCCACTGAGAAAGCAGAAGCTACCCTTAGAGATGCTCTGTTATCCATCTATTAGTACACCCACTTACTTCGACATGTCAAAAGTGTGTGCACACAGCAACCCCCAGTCAGAAAGTAAGAGTCCCTAAGCTTCTATCGAGAATATGGCTGGTGTGGGGCTCACAGCACGAATCTCAGACCATAAACACTGCTGTCCCTCAGTTGATGGCACTGACCTGCACTCCCATGTGCCCAGCTTTGTGAGCCTGAAGTCACCCCTGCTTTGGTGCTCTGGCCTACTCAGGTGCTCCTCTTCCTTCTCAACTGTTGACTTTTCTCATGTTTATCCGAGGTTCCCAAATGCTGAATTTCTTTGAAGCTGAGGATGTTTGTTGGCAGGTCTGTGTTGAGGCCTGAGATTCCCACGTTTGTAACAGACTTGCTGGTGACACAGATGTGGCCATCCTTGATGTAGCAAGACTCTCACAATGTATTTAAAGACAGAGTCTACTCACTTCTTTCACAGCAATACACTGCTAGGCTGAGGAATTTCCAGTCTATTTCTTTTGTGTGTGTGTGTGTGTGTGTGTGTGT